CTCCTAATATGGAAGGTTCTCTTCTCAGACCTTACCCCCCATCTCCCCACCCCCCGACCCTTCTCTCCCCGGATAATAGTACTCTATATATATAATATTACATTCTGAGCATAAAACATCTATCTACCCAGCCAAGTCTAGTAGTAGTACCCACTACCCAAAAACTAAAAGCTATCCAGTACCAACCCGCAAAGTCAGCAGTGCGTGGGTGGGTGGGTGGAATGTATAGTGTTATGTGCGTGCGTGTTTGTGGAATTCAATTTATTTATCTATTTTGCATTCAGTGAGTATAAGGTATCAATGATGATGGTATGTGAAGTTAAGATTACATTTTACAATTGAGAGTAGTAGACGACATTTTACTGAAAGTGGTGTTGTGTTGATTGGTTGGTTGGTAGTAGGTATTGAGGGAGAGAACACTTAAGTTTAGTATTTGTTTGCAATTCTTGGAAGGTAGTAGGTAAGTTCAATGGTGAAGTTGATTCGATTCATTACCGTATGGGCGTATTTTTAAATCCTAGTAACTAGACTAGTCTAGGAGTAAATTACTTATAACAAATAGATGGTGTTAGTTTGGACCTTTCTTCAAAGTTATTCTACTGCTGTTCTACGACCAAAAGTGTATGAAACACTCGACATATTTTAAAGGAGAAGGGTTAAACCAAAGAAAAAGTTCAATTGCTACCAGGACTGTACATGATCGAGAACCTAACACGACACGACACGTAAGATAAAAAAAAGGAAAATATGAGATGGGGTTGGGTGGGAGGTGACAAGGGGTAAAATGGAGAAGAACACACACACTCCCTCTAGGAAATCAAGAAAGAAAGAAAGAAAGATTTAGCAAAGATTAACTTCTTCCCTTCTCTCTTTTGTCTTTCCCTCTTTTCTTTTTTGGCATTTTTCCCTCCCTCGCTTGCCCTGTTGCTCTATACCTGACGAACTGCAGGGTGCTGCGAGCGAAGCTATTCTATCCCCATAGTGGAAGTCGTACACACACAGAGAGAGAAGGATAAAAAAAGAATTGAGACAGGTTTATGGTAATTACATGCCAGGGGAGATCAGCTTGCCCTCAGCGCGGGCCTCCGGGTGCCAACCACCAGCGTAAGGTCCGTTTCCACCAACCTCCTTCGAGTACTCCCGGATGCGGGCCTCCAGCTCGGGGCGGAAGTGACGGATCAGACCCTGAATGGGCCAGGCAAAGGCCTCACCCAGAGCGCAGATGGTGTGACCCTCGACCTGCTTGGTCAGCTCCTGGAGCATGTCGATCTCACGCTCGCGAGCCTGACCCTTCTCCATACGCTGCATCATCTGCATGGTCCACTTGCTACCCTCACGGCAGGGAGTGCACTGACCGCAAGACTCGTGCTTGTAGAAGGTGGACAGACGAGAGATGGCGCGAACAATGTCGGTCGACTTGTCCATGACGATGACGGCAGCGGTACCGAGACCACTCTGAGAGTCCTTCAGGGCGTCGAAGTCCATGAGCTGGTCGTCACAGATGGACTTGGGAAGGACGGGAGTCGAGGATCCACCGGGGATGACAGCGAGAAGGTTGTCCCAGCCACCACGAACACCTCCACAGTGACGGTCGATCAGCTCGCGAAGGGAGATGGACATCTCCTCCTCGACGGTGCAGGGGTTGTTGACGTGTCCGGAGATACAGTACAGCTTGGTACCAGCGTTGCGCTCACGGCCGAAAGACGAGAACCAGCTGGCGCCACGACGCATGATGGTGGGGGTGACGGCGACAGTCTCGACGTTGGTGACGGTACTCGGGCAGCCGAAGAGACCGACAGCAGCGGGGAACGGGGGCTTAAGACGGGGCTTGCCGGCCTTGCCCTCGATGGACTCGATGAGGGAGGTCTCCTCACCACAGACGTAGGCGCCCATACCACGGTGGATGTAGACGTCGAAGTCGTAGCCAGTACCGCAGGCGTTCTTGCCGATCAGGCCAGCCTCGTAGGCCTCGTTAATAGCCCGCTGGAGAACAGTAGCTTCTTGGTAGAATTCACCACGGATGTAGATGTAAGCGGCGTTGGCGTTCATGGCACGGCCGACGACGAGGCAACCTTCGATGAGCTTCTGGGGGTCTTTGCGCATAATTTCACGGTCCTTGCAGGTTCCGGGCTCACCCTCATCGGCGTTGACGACGAGGTAACGGGGTCTGGGGTCCTTGTCCCAATCCTTGAAGTTCATGAAGGACTGTACCAGAGCAATTGGAGGTTAGACTGGGGCCCGAAGACTGGCTATGTCATCAATTGGTCTCGGTGAGGGCAACTCACGTATTTCAGTCCGGAGGGGAAACCAGCACCACCACGACCACGAAGACCGGAGGCCTTCAGCTCAGAGATAAGCTGCACAGATCGAACACATATCGAGTCAGCATTGAGATCATTTCCGCATCTTCCAGCAGTTCCGGGTCCAACGACCCGCGAAGGGGCAGAGCCTACCCAGTCATGACCCTTCAGAACGATATCCTTAGTCCGGTGCCAGTCACCATACTTCATCGCCGACTTCAGATCAGCTCCATGGTGTCCGTAGAGGTTGGTGAAGATCCGATCCTGGTCCTTCAGACCGCCATAGTGCTTGACCGGGGGGGCGTTGTCCTGGACGGTCGCGAAGGAACGGGCGGCCGGGGCCTGGGCTCGGAGGGAGCGGGAGGAGAGGGAGGCGATGGAAGAGGAGGGAGCCGCCGCTCGAGATATCATGGTGAACACTGGCCCAATTGACTTGGGAGGGGAAAGGGAGGGGGGAGGAAAGGTGGGAGAATCGAGGATGCGTTACAAAGCCGTGGCAGGCGTGGTTTGGGTTGAGCTGCCCGTCGCGGCAATTCCTGCGCTTGCTGAATATCCGCCTTTCGCTCCTCCCTGATTGGTCCAGTGGGGTCACCTGATCCACGCTGACTAACCACCACAGATCTACTCGTTCTTTGGTTCTATATGGATTGCTCTATTGATAGCTACCTAGTACTTGTAGCACTGGTCTTATATCTATCCTATGTCTCAACTGCCTACTACTCATATGCCTCCCCGGGCACATACAGGTAATTCTCTGTCATCAGTCTCACCTGACCCCCACTTCCAGTCGCCAACAACTGCAGTGGATCGTCAGGAATCTGCACACACTCCTGCTCCCCAATCATCCATCCCCATCGCAACCAATTGGGCGACAGCCACCAATCGTCTTTTTGCCAGTCTCCCGTGTACGGGGCCAAACTGGTAAACATACCTGCGTTCTGTGACCTCATCTTCTCCAGTGTCTCGTCAAAGAGACTCACAATGTGCTCATCATCCTCGTCCTCCAAGGCCCAGGCCACATCATTCGGGGGCGGTGGGTAATTCTCCAAGAGGAAGCTCGCCCACCGGGACAGTCTGGGGGAGGGCTTAAAATCTTCGGAAGCACCAGATTTACTAGCAGTGTGGGCTGCCGCAACCAGGCAAAGGAACATCGGGAAGGCGAATGGCGATGACCCACCGCTTCCTCTTAGCATTGGAATGGCGGATTCAGAAACTGACAAGATGTCCTGGAAGCAGGCCTTGCAAGTTTGCTGCATCGCCGTTGGGAGAAGGTCGGGCAATTCACCCAGCGTGAACAACTCCCCGTTGTTTGTAAGAAGAGACTTCCGCTCCAAAATCCGCACTTGCAGCCGCGAGTACACCTCTTCTGGGAACTTTCCGGTGGGAATTCGGCCCATATGGGCCCCAAGGATTCTCTTGGTTTCCTCCCAGGTCCCAGTGAAGTTATGTAGCCGCGCACGGTTCAGTGTCCATGCTGCTACAACTAAAGCGGTCTCAGACAACATGATCTGGCTGTCTCGGTAGACTTTCGCATGGGTCTGTTTGAGGTTTCTCGGTGTCTGAAGGTCTTCCCCTGATGCCCTGAGCTTGGCAGCATGTGTGACGACCTCAATGATAACCTGACTCAAGGCAGCAAGTAGGGCCCTAGAATTTCCATAGACATTTGGAAGCTTGATCCCTTGGTTTGTGATTTCGAGGGTTTCCAGCTCCCGGTTGTTGGCAGCCAGAACCGACACGGCGTCAAGCAGGGCAGGTGAGAAGATGGAATGCTCCATTGACATGTCAGGAGCGAGAAGAGGGTAGAACACGTTGAAGACGTAGTAGTGATCTTCCGGTTCCCCCACAGCAAGGTCAGGGTACATCTGCAGTTGATGGGACTTTGCCATGTAGAGGGGGCTTCCAGGCGGTGCTCGTAAACTGACGATGCGGTGGTCGCAAGGATTTCCGGGAATGCAGAAACCGTAGTTCATCATAACTGATTTTCGTCAGTCGCTAGCCATTTCGTGAAGCAGTCCTCCGGAGGGCACCTACGTTGCTCGTTATTCCGCGGTCCGTAGTTGTTGCTAATCTCCTGGCCCGCCGACACGTCTTCCAGGACCACAAAGGCAACGTCGTCCTTACCAGCCCGCCACTCCACCTTGGCTAGTGGTCGATGATTGCCCATATCGATGATGGGGAGAAGGACAGAGAGCTTCTCCTCTGACAGTTCCGATTCAGGAAAGACTCCAGAAAGTACCCTCGCCGAGAAGGCACGCGAGATGAACATCGAAGCTGCCCAGAGATAGAGGTCCCTACAAACACATCGCTAGTGTCAATGCCGCTCTTCAATCCAGGCTTGGAACTGCAAGTAGCACTCCAGTGACCTACCATGTATACGCATCAGCACCCTCAAACCCAGCATTGCGCAGCTCCGTCGCACCTTTCTCATATTTCTCCTTCAGAACCTCCAATCTCTTCTCCCTAGCCGCCAACAAGCTAGTGCCATCCAACCACTGCAGATCTTCTCCTTCATAGTAAGGAGGAGTAGTCAAAGAGCCAGGCTGAGGCAATGTCCGAATATACGGGTACCAAAAGCCCTCAGTGCCACGAAGATACTGACCAATCAAAAAGAAGATGGTCGATTCCTTTTCTCCGACAGCATCAATAAACGACTGTGGGAAATGCAGGCCATGTGCCGAAAAGGAGATTGAGGGAGTGGTCTGGTTAACAACATTGAAGTAAGACATGGTAGTAGCCAAAGGCGTCTTGATGATGTGTGTGTCGGTAGGGACAGCATCCTTCCAGTCTTTCTTAACTTGGAGATGAACACCACGGCTTTCATCCTTGGCTATTTGGACGCTCTCGTGCAGATGGCCTCCATTGTTGACCATCCAATTGAGCAGATCAAAGTAGATCTGTAGACTGTCATCATCGCCGGACCTGGGGCTGTTAGTCAGACTTTGGATTTTGTATCATGGAGGGGGCATGCGGGCAGTGTGATGGCGGGGGAGGGGTGAGTTGTATGCTTCATAGCCATATATCATCATGCAGAATGCATGGGAGTGTGCTACACTAGTAGTATGCATATACATCCTTTGCGGAAATAGCTTGGACAGGAATTATGCATATGCTGAGGCGATAATCGAACCATGAAAGCATCAGGCATAAAAAGCACCGCAACCGCAAGTTTGACCCGAAAACGTCATCGCGGAGGTAGAAACGAAAATAATAGGGAAAAAACGACTTACCTCAGGGGCCCTGCTGGCGCACTTGCCATGATCGCGAAGAAGAGTAATGGGGTATATACTACTCGTAAATAATGATACAAGTACTGCAGAATTCGAGAAATCCCCGGTACTGCTTCAGTTCCTCCGAGCGACGAAAGTTGCAGAAGTGAAAAGTGGGTTTTTGGCAGGCGCGGAAGGCAAGAATGGAAAGAATGAATGCGGCGTCCCACTTTCCCTCCCGCATCAACATCGCCCATACATACGAACAAACATAAAAGGCATATAATATAGTAACTACGAGCCAATTTCTCCTGCAACAATGTAAACATAATCATTCAGATCAATCCTTATTGTCCGGGATTTCGCTTGGTCCGACTCGTTGAGGCATACAATCATGAACCGGAGCATATACAAAAGTGCCATGCGATCAAATAGTGTACATCATGGGAATTGAACTAATCCAAAAAGAAAACAAAAGATGAAAAGCAATGGAAAGAAGCCGAAACAGAAATCAGAGTACCGCCAAAAATAGGGAAAAAAGGAGGAAAGCGTTGCATACATAACAGAAAGTGAACATCAAGCATCATGTGCAAAACTAATGGGATGATGTGGTGGATGACGTGGAAGCCTTTCGCCCGGGGACGAGAATCTCGACTAAACCATCATCCTCCCCATCACTACTGTCGTCTTCATCGTCGCCAAACGGTGAGGCGCCCATCCGTGATCTACCGAAGTTTCTGTAACGCCCCGAGGCGATGTCCGGATACCCCAAAGATTCGTTCATAATGGCCTCATCCTCTTCGTCCGAGTCCATCATGCCCGACCCAAGCGAAGGCCCGACCATCTCCCCCATGTCGTCTTCCTCCTCATCAACCTCTAGGGGAACCCGCTCCTTGCGTCTCATGCCCTCCGGTCTACCTTCTCCCTCCTCGTCGGAGGAGTTAGTCGAGAATGAGTCGGGAGGGCTGAATCCGGAGTCAGGGAATGTAGGCGATGAGAAGGGCTCATCCTTGCTGGCAGGTGGGAAATCAGTGGACGGGAAGGCTGCACTGGCAGGCGAGTTGGAGCCATCGGCATCCTCATCCAAGCCGGCGATCACGAATGGATTCGTGGGCCATTGCATGTCATGTTCGCTTTGCTGGTCGTGACTTGACTCTTCACCACCCTCGGAATTCTCGGCAGCCTGTTGTTTATGGGCAGCAAGTCGGGCTGCTAGCTGCCGCCGTGCGCGAGACGGACCTTGGCTCAACGGTGCTGGTGGTGGGGGAAGGATCGGGATTGGCTGACTGGTAGAGTTGGTAGAGGCCTATCACATTCGGATTAGTACACAAGCTCTGTTCCATTATGGAGGATAGTAGATGACGAGGTAAATGCGCAAATCCAGAGACCAGGTTAGGGATACACCAAAAGCGACGTCAACACCTAGGCGGCAAGCCCAAAGAAACTACTGGTGTGACCGGCAAGCACATGCTTAGTTCCAGAGAGTTGCAACATGATAGCGGGGAGCAGGAGTTCTTTAGAATGACTTCATACGTAAGGTAAAGCGCCGGAGAACGCTCTATGTGCAAGGCCCTCCACGACCTCCGTCGCTCCTCTCGTCCATCATGCGCTATCCCAGCCGCAGCATGAAATGTATACCAGCCCAAGGCCCGAATCCAAAGAAAGATCAACCACAACAGGGTGTACCAAATGATGCAAAGATGGCCGCAGAAGAAGAAGAAGAAGGTAAAGGGTAGTGGGGAGAAGGATGTCCAGAATTGCGTCAAGCATCGCGCATATCGACATCAGTGAAAAGGTGATGACCCACATTGTCAGAGCCGCCTTCAGCAGAAGGCTCGGCCATATTCCGATCGTCTTGATCTTCCATTTCCTCATCCTCATCGTCATCGCTGGAGCTAGCGAACCCGCTTAGTAGGGAATTACCACTGTTTAGCCCGAAAGCTCCGCCGGAGACACTTCCTTGGTTCATCATGTCAAAGCCCTGGAACCCGGAGCCTCCCACCGAGCCATTCAGGCCAGCGTCAGCAAGCGCCGATGATGTGTTCGCGCTCTGGCCGGAATTGAGCATGCCTTGGCGATGTCCAATCGACATGTCAGGGCGCACCCCTCCAAGAATGGCGTTGTCGCGCTCCCTGGTCTCAGAAAGCGTTTGCTCAACATAGTCTATCCACTCAGGGTTCAGCACATTCTCCATAACCGTAGGAGAGAGCAACTCGGGCGGGTGCCGTTCGCTGAATTTCACAACCTCTTCAGCAATCAACGTCAAGTGGCCCATGTATCCTAGTCGGATCTGTTTGGTTCGCTGCGCCTCATCACTGCGCTTTTGGCCTTCGACAATGCTCTGGGTGATTCGGCCAGTCTCAAAAACGTCAATGGCCAGCAGACGATTGTAGCCGCGGTCCATGGGACCGTTGAACACTTGTTGGACAACATCATAGACAACGTTGTGAAGGAAGTTGTTCCAGGGGAATCGGAAAAAGAAGTCCTAAAATAAATCTGTCAGAAATTGTCCATGACACAATTTGGATGCAGACTTACCAAAATAGTCGGTACCACCTTGTTTTCAACGAACATAATCTTGAGATAGTCACCAACAACAGGTTGCCCGTTAGAATCAATCTGAACATCTGGGTGCAGCTGTCGCGGCACATCACCGTCATTTGGCGCCGAGTCGGAAGCGGGTGGAACTGAGCTTGAAGCATCGCCGACCTGGCCAGCAGTATCAGGCGTCAAGGAGCTCTGTTGATTATTTGTTTGGTCTACGAGAGGAGCCGATTCCTGTTCGGCTTGGGAAGACGCCGTGGTCTGTCCTTCCATACCGTTGGAAGCCGCTTCTGCAGCTGGCTGGCCTTCCTTGGTGGTCTGTCCACCGCCCAGGCTAACTTCCGCTATACCTGACGCAGTAGCTGACACAGGATCGGAAGTAGGCGTATGTGCCCGAACCTGACTCGCAGGGTTTTCATCGTGTGAGCCGTCCTCCGATGCGCCATTTGAAGCATTTTCGGCTGATTCTGTCGGGGCATGCTGCGAGGGAGCTGCGGACTCCGGCTTGAACTCGGGGCTGCTGGTGTCCTTCACTTCAGCGTCCTTCTCCTTGTCGACCAGAACACCGGATGCGCTAACGTCCTCGAAGCTTTCCTCGCCCGTATTGGCGACCTCAAGCACTCTAGAGCCCTCAGGGGAACCGTAGCCAATGACGGATCCATTGACAAAATCCACCGTAGAGTCGTTCCCATCAAATGCCGATGTCTCTTCGCGGTGCGGGTTGAAGACACCTTCGCGCATGAGCCTCTCGCGCTCAGCATCACGCTGCCGTACGTAATCGTCACTCCCCGGCTCATTCAGAAGGCCCATGTTACTGCAATGTAGCAGTTCGGCCATCAATTCGCACGTCTTGAATCTGTCAAAGCCCAGGGGCTCGATCTTGGCACCCCAAGCTGAGTTGAGCTTCCCCCTTTCTACACTTCTCACCTTGCCCCCGTCGTTCACAGTGTGTTTCGAGCTTTGGATCAGCGCCATGAAGTCCGGTATGTGTTTGGCAAAAAGCCGAAGCAAATTCCCGAGGTAGATCGGATCGTATGTGGTGGGGAGTGAGTCCGGACCATTGATATTCTCAGGATCGTAGTCGGAGTTGTTCTTCCGGATCACTTCAATGACGATACCAACACCGACTGTCAGAGGGTTTCCACCTTGCAGCATGGCCTTGATGAGACTTTCCACACACGGCACGGAGACCAACTGACGGGTGAGGCTGTTAGGGCCAATGCAGGATTGGTCATTCTGTGTTGCGTTCGCGGATATGGTGATAATAGCTTTGAGGAAATCCCCAGCCGAGGTCTGCACCGAGGCAGGGTGATCCGGGGACAGAAATGAGAGGAGCGTGGGTATGAGGTTTTGGGTTTTCAACCACTGCGGACGTTGATCAGCATGAATCACTCACAAGCTAAAACGTTCACCCTCAACTTACATCGACAATGCCATGGCCACCTTCTACCTTCTCCAGACTTATTATTTTGAGTAAAAGGTCCATAACCATTGGGTTGTCCACGTGCTGCAGAATTGCCGGTACAATTCCCTCCATTGACTTGAACAGCTCCAGCATTTCACTGGTTTTCTTGTCGAATAAGGTTTCGTTCACTTTCGTAAAGTAACTCGCCTGAGCAGAGTCCAGAGGGGACGAGCGCCGCAAAAATCCCCAAAAATCTCGTAAGTTGTCGGGATTGAGCAGAATGGACTCCACGATCGACCATATCTCCGACGACAGAATTTCGCATGCGACGTAGGCTCGCTTCATGCGATCCTTCTCCGCCCGCTCCAGGTCTTCGGGGTCCAGAATATCCTTGAGGGGGTCACCCCCCTTGGCCTCTTCCGTTGCATCATCATCTCTGTTCGTCTGCGCATTGTTCTCGTGATCGTCATCATCTTCGTCGTCTTCATTCACCAGACTAGGCGCAGTGACATAATCCATGAGTCGTTTAAGAACATTATCTTCTCGTAAGAATTCTATGAGCTTCGTATTATTTTGTTTGAGCTCTTGGATGAGCTCAGACTCATCCAACAGCTCTTCAAGGGTGACATCGGGCTTGTCTAGCAGGGTATCGATAGCGGAGATACTCGCATATCCTCCGAAACGCCAAAACATGATGAATTATATAACTGGGCGAAAAGAGTCATGGAAAGGAAGCACAGTAGCACGGGCACTTTTGATCGCAGGTCGTCGCCGAAACGTCGTTACGGTGAGCCGAATATGATACAAAACCGTGGTAAGCGGAGATGGTCTAGTATATGATCCTCATGCAAAGTGTTGAGTATGCAATGGTTACTCGGTGAAAAGTCATATATCGAAACAGACTTCGGAAGGACTGAGTCGTCTTAAGATCGAATCGTCCCGAGACACAAGACAGGAGAGGAGAACGATAGGCAAGATAAACCGGGTCTGAGCGGCCAAGCGCTACATGCGCAAAATAGACAAAGTTAGTAAGGTTGCATGCGCCTCAAGCGTCATAGAGAAAGATCGGTGAATATGGGCTGAAGAATTATCAGGGGCGGACTTCTCAGGCAGTCGGGGGAAGGAGTCAGGTCTCGAAGAGCCTATGAGGGCGGCAAACGACAGGCTTTACGGGATGACAGCAGAAGCAGCAGCACAGAATGCATTGCCATAAAATCCGAAAAGGGCAAGGAAGGAGGGAGGAGGTCCAGACCACGTACCTTTCACGACCTAAGAGAGTGAGAGAGTGACAAAAGACGAAACAAGAGCAAGGTCCGTTGTTTGGGAGGGCTGAAGCGACCCACGGGCAATGTAATCACTTTGTCAGCCCGGCACTGCACAGGCGAAACCAGTCCGTCAGATGGGGGGAAGGAGGAAGGATAAATTGAGGGTCAACAACCCAAAGGCTTAAAGTGAGGATCACAGGCTGACAGTTCGCAGGATCACGTTGACTTGTGGTGCGCTGGCGGGAGTGACTGGATCGGCCGGCAAGACTGAATGATCCCTGGAAGGTGACGATTGAAACAAGCAGGGCGGAAATACCCAACAAGCCCGAGGAGCGACGGCGGGGAACCAAAACCAGATACGCGAGGGAGAGGGGGGCAATAATGGATGATTGTGAAAGGACCACGAGTGGATGGTTTAGTTAATTTCAGACGCTTAATAATCCGGGGCGAAGACGGTAAGTAAGTACTGCAGTTCTACAGTTTCCATCCAACCGGTTATCCCTCCTTCTAGAAATCCAATGGTTGTTGTGGTTGATGAGGCTGTCCTCCAGACGTTCGCGTAACACTCCGGAACCTTCAAGACGCACGAGTCGTTATTACCTACTCCTTGCAGGTTTGGTGCAAAGGCCGGCAAAGTATCAGGTACCGCACTGGCCTTATCCGCTTGTGCACAGATACAAGTACCGGGTACACTGTCTGTTTCGTTTCACCGGAGCTGGGGGGTAAGGCAACTGGGCGGTATTTTACCGTCACTCACTTTACACTATAACTTGTTCTTATCATCAGTATAATACCATCTGGTTATCAATTCACCTTCATGAATCATGGTCTTCAAGAGGTTAATTTCAGCCAGACCATGCTAACAAACACATAAATATTCACCCGGGGACTCGGGTGAACAAGTGTGTGCTTAGGCTAGACTCGGGGGCCAGTAAGCAGATCAGCCTTGCAGTCACTAAAGACAATACCCCATACTCCGTCACTCCGGTTCATCTGCCTCGGATCACGAGTCAAATCTGGATCTGATCATCAGGACAATCCCAGTTATGTCCTGGGAATATAATTATCCCACCTACAACAGAACAATTATATCATATCTGTCTTCTAATTCACTGGCCAAGTTCACACTGACGAATTAAGCCAGAAACGGCACATAACCGTATCTGCTGCATAATACCACATCTTACTGTATTATACCCCATCACGTGGGGGCAATTCTAGGTAGCAGCCTAAGCTTCGTCTCGAGCGCAACTGATAACATTCACCCCGCTGTCTCAACCTAATACTTTTGTAGTATAATACCTGCTCTACTCATCTTGCGCTCACTATCAAAATATTTTTGTAATTCATCAAGCCTTCTCGCGCGCAAATCTCCCAACTCATAGAACCCCCCGACACAGCTCTATACCCCGACCGGTATCTCCAAGGCGGCGAGGCGAGGCCGCGGCCGCTAAGGACCGACCAGACCATATCCATCTATCTACCCCCCAGTTCACCCTCAAGCTTGCCACAAGAAGCTCATTCTCCAATCCTCTCTCACATCCAACCAGCCAAAATGAACCGGCTATTCGGTACGAAGAACACGGCACCCAAGCCAACCCTAGATGGGGCCATAACCAATGTACGTTTTCCCTTTTCCCATCCCCAACCAGTCATCCATCCATCCATCCATCATTGTTGTTGTTGCCCAACTCTCCGAATCCAACCATCTCGTCCCCTTTGTCCGCCCGAAACCCCGCATGATTAACACTTCTCCCACCCGGACAGGTGGAAACACGCATTTCCAGCATTGACGTCAAGCTGGCGGCACTCAACTCGGAACTATCAACCTATCAAACCAAGATCTCGAAGATGCGCGACGGGCCGGGAAAAACCGCGTTACGGCAGAAGGCACTCAAGGTACTCCAGCGACGGAAACAGTACGAAGCGCAGCGGGATCAGCTGTCGCAGCAGTCATGGAACATGGAGCAAGCGGGCATGATGCAGGATAATCTGAAGAATGTGATGACAACGGTGGATGCGATGAAGACGACTACCAAGACGCTCAAGAAGCAGTATGGGCAGATTGATATTGATAAGATTGAGCGGTTGCAGGATGAGATGGCGGATCTGATGGACGTGGGGAATGAAATTCAGGAAAGTATATCGAGGGCGTATGATGTTCCTGAGGATGTTGATGAGGCGGAGCTCGATGCTGAATTGGAGGCGCTGGGTGAGGAGACTATGATGGAGAGCTCCATGGCTGATAGTGCCATGCCGAGTTTCTTGCAGGATGAGGTGGCGCCGCCGCAGTTTATTGATGAGCCGCCGGAGCAGACTAAGGTTAAGGAGCCTGCTAGTGGGTTGGGTTAGGATTACCTACATGGTTTTACGAGAATAGTGGTTTAGGAGTTATGATCATGGTGGCATCGGAGTTGGGATTTTTCCTGTTATTTTTTCTATTCTTCTTCTCCCCTTTTCCTTCCCTGAATTAATCGATTAAGCTGTGTTCATTCTACGAACTCTTATTGTGTATGTTTGGCTCACTTTCTTCCCCTTTGCGTGTCTGTATCTTCGGGGTGTATCACTCTCCTGACCTACACGGCTTGCACATTCCAGCGATACTTCCTTTCGAAGAGATTTCGTCCCCTTCAGTTCAGCGTTCCATATGTTTCACGCTCTAGGCCTTGCCGAGTCCAATCAGGACGAGCAGGGCAACGTTCATGACCGCAATGATTACCCAAACAATGATAGCGATGGCAGCAACAAACCAGTTGTTTCGCATCTTGACTCCGTCGGCCGAGGCATTCTCACCGGCGAAGTTTCTATCCGTAGGGACGGTCATGTAACGGTTGCGGCACGTAAAGTAAACCAGAGGAGCGGTGACAAACGGCAGGATGACACTCAAAACCACTTGGCTGGCGTTTAGAGTCTTATTCAATCCCTCCTTGCCGACAGCAGCTGCAATGATTATGCTAGGGATGATACTGATAGACCGCGTGACCAGTCGCCGAAGCCAAGGTCTGATACTCCAGTTCAGCATTCCCTCGCTGACCATTTGTCCAGCCATGGTACAGACAATCCCGGCGGAGATACCTGAGAGAAGCAGGGCCAATGCGAAGATCAGACCTGCAGCTGGAGCAATGGAGCTTGAAAGAAGATTGTAAATGCCAAAGAGGTCTGCTTCATCAGCTCCCGACGTGCCGTACAAGGAAGCACCGGCAACGATGAGAATGGCGCTGTTGACGAAGAGGGCAAATGTAAATAGGGACAACGTCAGCTCAATGACGGAGTACTTCAGACATCCCCGAATGGCTTGGATGGACGGCCTGTATTCCACTTCTCCGTTGGTGCTTCCAAGGCAGACGGAGGGATCGACGTAGCCTTGGGTAACATCGAATTCCTTCAGTCGCGATTGGACAACTCCGCTGCCAAGAAACATGGAGTGAGGCATCACCGTAGCACCGAGGATACCACAGCTTTGATACAGACTGTTAGACAGTAAGTTAGTAAGTTCAATGTCTCAGTCATATGCGAAGCGGGCTACTCACCCATTGGACTGCACGATGGCAGACGAAGGCAAGTAGCCCCGGAAAACAGCTCCGACCGACTGTTCTTTAATGAGGGCGAGTTGAATGCAAAAGCAAATCACCACTCCCAGAACCAACAGCATGACGAAGAATTCGAAGAGACGCAGTCCCCACATGGCGCCATTCGGTCTATAGAATATCAAGATGAAGAGAACATCGGCTAAGGTGATTGCGCATCCCGCCACCAGAGGGATGTTCAGGAGAAGGTTGAGCGAGATGGCAGATCCGACAACCTAGGACACCAGCTTAGCATTAGCATCCGAAAGCAGACAGGGAAAGTCAGCTGCTTACTTCTGCGATATCGGTTGCCACGATGGCGGCCTCCGCAAAAACATACAGGATGTAGGTCAACCACTTGGGTAGGTGCTCCCTGCAGTTTTCCGCCAGGTTGAGCCCGGTCACAGTGCCGAGCTTAATACACAGCGACTGTAGGAAGATAGCAAAAAGGTTGGACACTAGGACGATGAAGAGCAAGGCATAGCGAAACTCTGCGCCTGCAGAGACATCGGTGGAGTAGTTTCCCGGATCAATGTAAGCTACCGCAATCAGGAATCCAGGGCCCACGAAGCGACCAAACTTCTTGATACTTTGAGCGAGACGGAGAAAGAAAGAAAAGGTTGATGTATTGAAAGGACGGCGAGGTGATTCGCTGCTCGTCCTGGGTGATTGGTCCCCAGGAGCGGCAGCGATCACTTCGCCGGGTGTCTTCTTCTCCATCTCGGGCTCGTTTCCATCTAGATTATTTGGTCTATGATCCATCGCTGCAATTCCTTCACCTGCAGCTCCCCCCATACCGCCTGCGTGTCTCCGATGCACCTTCGAGTTCGCAATGCCGTTGAAATCGCTTCGAGTGGTAATG